TTTATGGTTTTTCTTTTGTGTGTGTAGGTGTACGTGTGTTAATGGTACATTAATGCCTGAATCAAGCGCCAGCACTGATCATGGATCTTTTGTTTCCTTAAATCTCAAATAAATTTCCTCTGTGTGATAGAGAAAGCTTTGAAACTAACCAGCTGACGTAAATTGTCGCATTGTAAGCCCTAATTGAATCACTGATAGAATGGAAACCACAAAAATGCACCTCCAATTAGACAAAACTTGACTATTAGTTTTTAATTAAATTGGCCATACATGTATGCATCTGGTGTCAAAATTTAACGGGCGTTAGCCAAAGAGAGTGTTCTGGGCTGCATCCTAAGAACTCGTTTGTCGAAAACTGATGTTTTTATGCTTAGCATTCGCCAAACGCTACCGAACAAAGCTTGCATGCAATTACTTCTTTCCAAGTTTTCTAGTCCACAGAACATAGATAGCAAAAAAAAGGTTTGAAGTCTTCATAAAATCATGAAATAATTACGACAGCACTGAGAAAATACAGAATCCGACTAGGGTTGTTCAACGATTCTCGATACTTAGATTGCGGTATGTGATAAATATCGCCGAGCTTTTAAACCTTTCAAGGTCAACAAAATGGCATCTGTGAAAAGCCCTGTGTATCATACGTCAATATTTACTTCCACCTCATTCGCAAAAGAGAGGAAAGCTTTTTCTTTTGTAAGAAATGTTCGGTGAATAAATAATGAAAAATGTTGAAATATTGAATTCGAGAGAGCAACATCATGGGAACCTAAAGCAAGTTACATTGATTAGATTTGGCTGCTTTGTCTTTCCTAACCTACGAGATTATTACCATTGTTAGCCTTCTTACACTACTAAACGACTGCTCATTTCTCTATCTCATCAGAACACTGTTGAAGACTGAATAGCGAGGATATTTGTCGATGGAAACACAAGGCGGTGTAGCAACGCAAAACAGTTCAAACTGTTCCACCAGTGCTCCGTGTACTGGACATGAATTCGAAGAGGACATATTGACTGGTTTCAACGCCCAGAGTGACTCCTTCCCCATCGCCATTGCCATTCCAATCATTGCAGTGAACTGCTGGGTGATCTCTTTGGTATGTCTGAAGAGAAGTTTGCGAACGGTGACCAACTACATCCTGACAAGTCTGGCCTTGTCCGACCTATGCACGGGGGCCATTTCCATCCCTTTATTCCTTAGTTGCAACATTATCCAAGAGACTAAAATTTGCGTAGCAGCCGATATGTTCATGAGATTCACTTCAACCTCCACGGTCCTCCACATTCTAGCCATGACAACGGATAGGTACATCTGTATAGTTTATGCCTTGCGCTATATGAGTTGGGTGACCAAGAAACGCGTCCTTTATTTCATTGCAGTCATCTGGGCCATTTCCCTGTTCGTAATGCTCGTCCAACTCGAGTGGTACGATATGAACGAAGGCGTTAAGGACGAATTCTCTCCAGAAAACAAGAAAAAGATCATCATCGTCGACAGCATTTGTTTCTTCGCCTTCGTTGGTCTTCCAGTGGTTGTTATGGCGTACACGTATGGCCGCATCTTGTATGAAGTTCACAGACAGAGCAGGAACATCCAGAGGCACAACACACCTGGATGGCAGGAGACTAAACGAAGTACAAGGCAAGAATGGAAGGTGGCCTCCGTCTTCATGGTAATGCTTCTCGTATTTGTTGTCTGCTGGGGGCCGTTTTTTCTCCTCCGACTCGAGCTTGTATTAGGCAGCAATTTCTTTGAGGTCACTTTCAGCCCTTTTGCCCAGATTCTAATGCTTTGGCTAAGGTTCGTCTCATCTTTGATCAATCCGTGTTTGTACATTCTTGGAAAGCCTGATTTTCGTAAGGCTTCGGCTCTTTCGAGGAAAAAGAGGAATCGTTTTAACGATTCAGAAACAACCCGTTTAACTCAATCAAAGGGTTCAACGTTTGTTTAATTTGAGACACAGCGGCGGATAATGACTTGAAACAGGATGATTTCCTGAAAGGGACAAAGTTCCAACCACAGCCTACACTCGATAAAGGAGCTTTTTGAACAATGTATATAAAGAAAGATTATCCGGGAAACAATCACATCAAATTTTTCAAATCTGTAAATATTCCTTCACAGACCTTTATTCATACCGACTAGCCTGGTTCTAAAACAGCAAATGAAGATAGAAAAAAAATGAACTGTTTAAAACAGGTGCAAATGAGCACCGAAAATGTTTGTCTGCAAAATCATCATCAATAACACTAGTTAATACAAAACATTTGATATCCAATAAATCTTGATCTCTCTACTAAACCTGGCCAGACAGCAAAATCAGAAAATCCGAACAAATTGACGTAAACATAAGGTGTGTATCAAAGCTTAATAAAACGTCCTATTGGAATAGCAATTATTTGTTTTGTCAGTGGTTGTCAACCTGACTTTTTTTTCTTAATCACAAAAGATTGGGCAACGATTGCTTGACTCATGATGATCCAGGAGACAAGCGAACAGACTTTTGGGTTATTAATCCCTATCAAAGAATATATACAAAGTCTAGAAACAAATCAAACTTGCTGCCGGCTTCAAATTATGCAAATTATCACTTGTATCGCGAGATAATATGCAAGCCAGAATCGCTGTGTAGAGTAGAAGTTTATGATGCCTAGAGAATCGTGAGCTGATGCGGCACGTTTTTCCCTTCTCTTTCTTTTCGAAAGCGATGTGATGGTTTGTTAAGATGCATGTACCTCACAGAATAATAGGTTTGAAGGAAAGCCTCATTCCCTGATAAATTAGCTTAATTTTAATGTTTCCCCACTGTGCGCTATGAGATAGACCGGTGAATGTTTCAATAAGACTTTAGGTTCCCAATTGGAAAACCATCTCCAAATGTTCTTAATTTCAGGCATGCTCGAATAGGATAGAACAGGTGATGCTCTGAAGTCGAAAATAATCCTCGGTTTCAATCAATGACCGGGAATTCAATGGTTTAAAATTAGCTTACTCTTCGAACGCAACATCTCAACAGACTAAACATTTTAGGATATTTCGAAACGGACAAGACTTTGCTCTTTAGTTGTAATAACGTTGCCTGTACATGTGCACGTTTTTTGTTGCTTTGATTGCTTCAAGTCGAAAGCTCACTCAAAGCCGCGTACACTGAATGTCGTTTTCTTTCATGATACCATCATAGCTGCCTCATATCTCGTCAAAACATTATTTTACAGCACCTTAAGATTTTTTTTTAAATTTTGCGGCTAGCCTCATTAATCCATCTGGTTCATTCAAGATAGTTCAAATATTGATTCGTTTGAAATGGTAATATTTACAACTTTCAAGTTCTGTCCGCCCACTAGGAAATTTTCAAGCTTAAGGGCAATTTTTTTTTTTTTTACATCGATTGTTTTCTTTTACATATTTCTAAGCGAGACTCAAATTTTAAACTAGTAAATCCAAAATAAGGTGGTAAAACGCTGTGGATCTTGCCACTAACCCCATCTATATTCCCAAGACAATTACCATTTCTTCCTTCCAGAAGCAAATGATGAATGAAGTATTTCCCTCGAGAGGGGGTTGAATAGCTGTCGTAGATACTACTCGTATTTACTATTGCCAATAGATCCTATCGTCAGAAATTTCAAACCGGGCCCGAGGATCAATTCATAGACGCACCAACTGCGTCATAGACTATTTGGAAGAAAATGGCATCGGTGGGACGAACGATCACTAGGAAAATAGCGTAAGTATTAGTTTAAGATCAAAGGGAACCCACGATACGTAGGAACAAGAGATCAGCGGGAACACGGGACCAGCGGGAACACGGGACCAGCGGGAACACGGGACCAGTGGGAACACGGGACCAGTGGGAACACGTGACCAGTGGGAACACGGGACCAGTGGGAACACGGGACCAGTGGGAATACGGGACCAGTGGGAACACGGGTTCAGTGGGAACTTGAGGTCAATAGGAACATAGGATCAGTGCAGACATGGATCAGTAGGAACAGAGGATCTCCTATACTCTCACCCCGGGATGATAAGATGAGCTTCCGACGTCATAAAAAAAAAACTCTTCCTTATCGTTCATCGTGCCTATTTTTACCCCGAACGAGTCAGTCTCAATTTTCCTCTAGGAGAATTGTTTTTTCCCTCAGATATCTTAGATACATATAACACTAAGAAGGTTAACTTACTAGTGTCGAGCAATATGTAACTTACTAGCGCTGAATATGTAGAAGATAGGTTGAAGTCGCTTGAGAATTTAAGCATAGACATCATTTCTCAGTGATCTACGCAAGGTTACGGCTGCACGTAGGCTAAAACACTTATAACTTCTAGAACCACTGCTGATTATTTTTTTAGTTATTGCAACCTAATCACCTTTATCATATCACTCATTGAGCGAAAAGTTTTAAAAGTCCCCATACCGTGAACTTCCAAAACGACAGGGATCATTAATCGTGGCAGTCTTTTAAGCCAATTAGAAATTCCTAAGAAATCTGATTCCCATAAGCACGTCTTTATGTCGGCATAACGTCAGAATTTTACACCCTGTCGCTTAGCAACTGCTAATGTAAACCCCTGGCTCGGAAAACAACCAATAAAATTTGTACGCGTATTTCCAACACAAGAGGTTGTCTTGAAACTAACCACAATATCAGGGTAATGACTGAGTACGACTGGATTCGCGGGCTACCACACCTCTTTCCACAACCTGCCAAGAGAGAGCGATGAGTAAAATAGTAAAAAAAAACGACGATGTCTCTAAGTGCCTGTGAGAGGCTTATGGAGAGACGCACCCCCAGGAAGATCTTGCTTACGCAGATAAACCTAATGCATGAATTTTCTTAAATGAAAGACTTCCAAAAATCATCAGTGTGAGAGATGTTGAAGGTAAAACCTAAGATAACTAAAAGCTAAAAAGATCAGTAGAGTAAGAATTTTCGATGAATGTACGCCTCGCTTAGCGAGGATAAATTCTCGTTATTTGCAACGTTGACACCTTTTAGGTTTAGGACTGAAATCTTCCCACCGCATTAAAAAGTTCCTGTGTGAATGCCATGAGCTCGGCTGTAGCCTGGAGGCCGGGTGGTATGGGTGGAGGGACGAACTGCTGAGGGGTCGCACTGACTCTCGGGACAGGGCGCACGCGCGGTAACGGACCATGTGAAGATGATGTTAATGGCGGAGGGCCCACAGTTGGTGGAGGGGCTCGGGGCGGGGCATGTCTTGGGTCTGAACCCAAGCCAGATTTTTTTAATGATTCGTCGTCGTTTGCTGTTCGTTCGTCTTCCGAAGTTGGCTCGTCTCCGGTCTCGGATCCCAATTCGTCGAAAACGTCGTCGTCGGCATCAACCGAGTGATCCTCCGGTGAAGAGGGCGCAGTTTCCTCATGAGATGAAGACTGTGCAACGTTACCACGTGACGTGGGCGTTGCGAGATCGCCGCGCCTCGAGGTAGGAGCTCTGCCAGAATTCAAGGGAACCATTGTAGGAGACTGATATTCTAATGCGTTGCATACACCATCCGCAGAATAAACGTCCCGGTGTGCTGACTTCAAGTGCTTCTTTAGCTTGTGAGGCCCAAGGAAACCTTTGTCGCACAGCTGACAAATGTGGCTATAATTGCCTGTGTGGATCCGCATATGGTCGTTCAAGTTATCTCGGCGCGCATAACCCTTATTGCACTGTTCACACTTAAAAGGTTTATCCTTGGAGTGTGTGAACAAGTGTCGCTTGAGCTTATCTTCACGGTAAAAGGTCTTCATACAACCAGTGTGACTGCGAAAGGGACAGGTGAAAGTTGGTCTTGTATCTGGGTAGTGAATTAAAGAATGCCTCTTCATTTTATCTTTACGGGCAAACGCTTTTCCACATTCAGGGCACTTGTGTTTCTTCTCCGTAGCATGCACCGTTCTTTTGTGCGAGCGAAGGTTCGCCGAAGAACAGAACGCCTTTGCGCATTCGTCACAGGCGAACGGCCTTTCAGTAGAGTGGGTCGTCTTGTGTTTCTTGAGCTGAATGGTGCTAGTGAAGACCTTCCCGCATTCATCACATGGATGCACATGACTCTCATTTAACCGATGCTGCTCGAAGCCGTTAGCAGTGAAGAAGCTTTTATTACAAAGCGAACACTTGAATTCCTTCTTATGCATTTTACAGTGCTCTTCCTTTTCCTTCAAAGCATTGAAAACCGCTGGACAGCGCTGACATCTGTAAATCTTGGAGGGGGGATTGAGGTATATTGGCACAAACACACTGGTCGCACCCTGTTTGCGCACCCCTGTACCCTGGGGACTGGTTGCAGATGTGGATGCGGAACAAGGATTCAGATGAACCAGTTGTGACTCTGGGATATGGACAGTCACTGGTTCATCTGAAGTCGAGGGTTTCTTGGTTCGAGGTTCCTTGCTCTTCTCTTGAGTGGACGAGGCTGTGGAAGTGGACGGGCATTTTCGTTTTCTTGTGGTCTTGGGGTGAGAGTTCTTCCTCTTGTGCCTTTTTGTCGGTTTTTCTACAACAAAAACACATCTGTGTGAGGAACCGTCATTATTTACCGCCAAGGAGGGGAGGGAGGTTAAGGGATTTTGGTTGTGTCACAATAAAATTTACGTGATCCCCCTTTAGGCTCTGTAGTACTCTAATGTTCCTCTCTCAATGACAGTCATTAGTCCCCCCCCTTATACTCTGTTAGCGATGACTGATCCCCCCTGAAAACCATGTGACCCCCCAAAAAATTCTCTAACTCCTTCCCCCTGCAATAAAAAATAAGCGATCCCTGAAACATAACTGTCAAAGGAGAGGGTAACTTGGGACAGTACAGCCAATGTAGACAATAGGTCACTTGCGAGTTCTTGTGGTTCAGTGATCTGGTACCAAAATTACAGCTTGAGGACAAGGCTATGTGCAAAGTTGCCATCACTATTCAATATACAGTGTCAGAAAAACTCGAAACTGCAATCGAGATCCTCAAACAAACAAACAGACAAACAAACTAGAGGATTATTAACAAAGGGGGTAAATTTCTAAGGAAATTGTGGTGCTGCGATGGTGGGAGAGTATAACAGGGTAATTAAATATTATCAACTGAGTTGATAATGTAAATTGGCCACCACAATCAGTTTAAAAGCTTTAAACTCTTTACAGTAGCCAATTTTCATTATCAACTCAGTTGATAAAACTAAATTACCCTTGGGGATTATTAGTTGATCAAATACAAATTCTTAGAAAAAAATTATAAGAAATGTATGGCAGACAGTAAGGAGAATTTTCATGGAGATATTGGCCATGAAGGAGTTATATAAACTTGCAATATGCACAAGACCTGCAAGATGCTTGTCTGGCAGCACCTATAAGCTGCTCACATGCTAAACACTTTTCTGCATAGCACAAGGCAGATGCAAAAAGGAAAGATGATGGGATGCAAGCGAAAGAGTGGTGGTCATGTCATTAACTGCTTAGCATCACTTTGCACCCTAATATCAAGATGCATATTCCCCATACTGTTGTCTACACATTTCCTAAGTTGGTGACAAAGAGAATTTGTTAAACAATCAAGGGGTTTTCAGGGGTGAGTTTGGTTTCACTGGGCTCTCACCAACTTTTTGTGACAATCCTTTACTGCAATGGACTGTTTTTGTATCATTTGATTTTATGACACTGTCGAAAAAGTTCTCCATCACAAACTAAGAATGAAGTATAACGTTTAGAAGAAACCCAACCCTTCTAAAGAAGTTGTCAGTTGCTCCTTTCAAAATACAAAACAATGTTTTCACTTTATCTCACCAGTTTTTTCATGATCTGAAGTTTTGTGACCATCAGGTTTTTCTCCTGCAGATGATGATGCACCATCACTAGTCGCCACTGGGTCTAGAAACTGCACCTCCACTTTTTTTGCAGCACAATCATCCTCAATACTCTCTACACACTCTTGAGCCTGCTGGGTGGTATCTGCTAATGCTACCTCTTCTCTGCTGTTGGTCTCCCCAGAGTGAGAATGGCTGCCTGCATCTATGGGAAGTTTGTTAACTACTTCTGTCAATGAGCTCTTGTTGACAATGTCACGACAAACTTTGTTTGCTTTGTGCTTGATGTACTCTGACAGATCATTAAAAGACAATTTACATCTTCCACAAAAATGGACATCTTGATCATCATCTGCAAAAAGCAAAATGACCTTCATTGGCATATGTTTAGCCTACTAAATAAATAGACAGGATTAGTTATCTTAACGGCAGAAAAGAGAAAAACCTGAAAAACTTCAGACTTTAACAGGATTTGAACCCATGCTTTCAAGAAATTATTTTGGCACATATTACTAAATAGGCAAAGAAGCCATACACTGAGAGTAAGGACAATTTTGGAGGATTCTTCTTTCTACAGAGGAATCATATCACAACCTCTAACCCTTTACATCCTAACATCAGTATGCAAATTCTCCATACTATGCTCTATACATTTCCTAAGGTGCTGACAAGGAGAATTTGATTTAACAATCAAGATCTTCTTTAGTTGGTAATCGTTTCCTTTATTCTTGTAAACTAAATGTGTGATTCGGGGATGATATTGTGAGGAGAAATTAGGTGCTAATCACTCTTAGCGGTTAAAGGGTTAAGGAAATAAACTGAAAAAAAATATTCAAAACATCTTCGAAGGGCAGCATCCAGATACTACATACACTAATATCAATCAAGTACACTCTCTTCTAAGGTCTCATTTTGTGGTTTTGGTGCCCCCGAAATTCCTCCCCCTTAGAGTTACCCTGGCTGAGCTAACTTTTCAATTTTTCTTTGAAAAATTCAACTAACCATTTATATGAAAATGGTGAACTCCTCTCAAGGGTGAGGCAGGTAGGGTGACCCTGTCAGGTGGGACAAATTTTACTTATACAAACACCCAAGTTTCCCTGCCTGAGACAAGATTACTCAAATTGCTTCCAGGACCCATGTGATTTAGGTCAGTTAAGACCATTTTGTCCAATATGTGACATGCCTAGCTGTCACAAGAGAGAGAAGGGAGGGGACAGCTGTTACAATGCTGTATGCAGATAGACATTCCAAAAAGTTGTCTCAAGGGGGAGGGGGGGTTTTTGTCTTGGGTACCCGAGAGCATATACTCCTGTAAATACACAGTAGATTTACGTACCTGAGGGAATGCTAACTTCCAAAACTGTTGTAGTTCTAGAGGTAGGCTCATCACTCTGAAAACAAGTTGGAAAAAATGATTAGTCTTTGAAGTGTACATCCCTGCCCAATACTGTTGATCAAATCTAACAAATCAAACTTGGAATACAGTACACAAGAAGAGGAAAAATAACATTTTCAAGGGTTTAAAAATTATTCGTAACTCTACGGCACTCAGAAATGATGAGCAAGTAATTCTCCCCACAATTTCAATACATTATGCAGTAATCAGGTGATGAGAATTGAGCTCGTCATTTATAGGCTGATCAGCTGTGTTATTTTTATTTCCACATGACACCGTATTTTCTTGATCAAAATTTATTGGTATGTCTAAACATTAAAGGGAAGAATTGCATTTGCTGATCAGATCGCAAGAGTTACACGGTTAATTTAGTTCATATATGGTCTCCAGCCTCATGATACATGGTAATAATTTTTCAGCAGGGATTTTAAGTTTCCTTTCGATAGTAAGATTTTCGTTCTAGTTACAGCATCAAAGGTAATATTTAATCCCGGAGAAGCGAGCAATGGCGTAAAAAACCCCTCGTTTTCACTTTCCGGAAGAGAGCCCAAATGTTCGAGTGGTTGCATCGATTATCGTGACACACGATCTAAGATGTTCTTCGTCAATTCGAGAATTTCATTCCAAACGAAAATCGCACCAAAACACTTGACTACCACGTATTATTTTGTGTTTGCTATTGCGCTTACAAGGAGAACCAAGAAGAACAGCAGGCTCTAGCGTGTACATTTATCTACTAAGGACGTGTTAAATAAGGTAATAATTAATTCAAAAATCAACCAAACATTACCTCAGTTGCTACGCTATCCGCCATATTGCGGAAAGGTTTCCCTCCGGATCGAAGAGAGTTTTCTGCAATTTCTCTTCACCTTGACTGGAATAAAAAGGTGAAATGACTTGGAAATGATCATATGCAGAATTTGGTAATCATGCTCTAGATATGGCGAGCATTTAAAGCGAATCAAAGCAGGAAAAAGCGAAATTTTTCATCGCCCATAGGAGGCGAAGGAAAGATTTCTCTACCACTCCCATCTCGCTTTGTGGCCCCTTCATCAATAAGGCGAGGTTACCCAATCTGGAACATGTGATCGAGGATCAAATTTAACGCGGGCTTGCGCGCTTTAAATTTTGTTGATAACAGAGCACGCTTCAGGATTTCGCACCTTAGGCCTAAAGAGGTTAGATGGTGGATTTTTTCTTTGTTCTGAGTACTTTTCAAGAATATTTTTTATTCGTTAGATGAGCTTAACTGAGCTCAACGTATAGTGGTTTTGGATGGGCGACAACTAGAAGAGATAGACAACACTTTCTGACAAAGGGGAGTTGAACATATTCCAACGTATTTAGTGATGTTTAGAAGCACGGGGAAAGAAACAAAGCATAGAATAACGTGTATTTTTCCAATAAAAAGGCAAATTTATTTTTACATTTCCCACTAATGATCCATTCTTTTTTTAATTTTCTCGATATGTAATACTCTCTCGATGTGTAGTATTTAAATTGTGGTTATTTATTTTACACAATGTTAGTTGCGTTCACAAGTCGATTTTTATTTCATATTTTTATTCTTGATTTATGATTTGACTTTTGGGAGTCTTTGTCAAATGGCACTGGGTTGCAGATCAAAATGGCCAGGGTCTCATTGTTGTCATTGTTCTTATACACTCAAGGTGTATTTTGATTCTCCCCAGAAGTATGAATGGGTATGAGGAAACTTATCAAAATTTGACAAAATCTGGGGGGAGGGTCAATTGCAACAATGCACTAGCACACCAGCACCATCCCAGGGAGAGTAGTAGTCACCTAATACCACAGAAACTGGGATAAGCTCAGCTGGTTGGCAAGTCTCTTAAACGGACTTGGCATTATGATCAATTGAATTATACCTATTTTTCCACATTTCTTAGAAATGATCAGCAAGATGTAGGAACAACTGATTGTCTCTCTAACAAGTTTAGAGAATTTGACTCTTTACAACTGGTAAAATGCCCCTTAAAAAGAAACCTCTGGAAGATGCCAGAAAAAGATTGCAAGAAAAGCTGAACAATGTTGAAGAACAGTCTGAGTATATCTGTCAGTTTATCAGTGATCTTGTTTGTAAGGTAAACATACATTTTCATTGTATTCTTCGGCATGTTCTGAAACAAAGAAAAGGAATCAACCTAGTTTGATGACTTGAAACCAAAAGATAGTTTGAGCCACAAGTAGTAAAGTTCTTTTCATAGAGACTCCTTAAAAGGAGAGTGAGAAAGGGTTTATACATGTATGTAGCACATGATTAAGGCCAGAAAAACTTACAGAAAAACAAGCATGATTCATGAATTTTTTAACTGGTGTGAGGCTTGAGTTACCTCTTGAAATTAACCTGATCAGTGATTTTTTTTCTCTCATTTCATGAAAATCTCAAGATTTCCCTGAAAGCTTACACACAAGAAGAGAGACTTAGGCTTAGGGTTAAAAGGTTCCCTTTTAAATTTGTGACACATAAAATGGTGTTTAAAGTATTCATTATGCATGAGTTTCTCCAAAATTTATGAACAAAACAGGATCAGGACACCCCCCCTCCCCTTTTACAACCCTGAAAATGGTATCGGCCTCTTTCAGGACCAAATTGGAATGTATTGCTTATTATGAGAGGTGTTTTTATTGATGATATGCATGCTATTAAGTGAAATTAAATCCTTACTATTTCCAAAATTGTGCGCTTAGTTTAAAACCTGGAAATATCATTTTACTCTTGCCTTCATGCTTAGGCCTCAGATCCAGCTAAAGAACTCCTTGAAGAGAAAGATCGCAAGAAGTTTTTTCAGAAGTATTCATCTGTGAGTCAGGAACTTGAGAAATGTCTGGATTGTTTGTTGTTAATAAGTGATTCAGTCACTGCTCTGGGAGAGGAAGACACTCTGGGTAAATAATTATTATTGTTTTAACCCTTTAACTCCCAAGATCTGATTGTTAATTCTCCCCTCTAGCTGCTACACATTTCCTTGTAAATAAGTTATGAGAATATTATGTCAGATCAAGATAACAAATTTGACCTGATGAGTTTGAATATTCTCATGACCCTTTTGCTGGATGATGGTTCCTTGTTCATCATTTCTGGGAGTTAAAGGGTTAAAGAAAACTATACCTTTGTTTGATGTTCCAGTTTACTTCAATCTTTGATTAACACATTCTGAATGAAAAGTGAGTGCTTTGAAATGTAAAACTAAATATAGCTAAAAATGTTGTTCTTGTTGTTTTTTTTACTTTGATATCAGGTGCCAGTGAAGATTACACTAGTTCTGCTTCTGAACCAAGTGACCATGTTGAGCAGGGTGCTGTCTCATTAAGGAACAGAGACTGCCTTGGGAAAGATGTTAAGTTGAGTAATGGTAAACAAGTTGAAGGTGAGATAGCAGATTGGGTGGTAGATGATGGAGAAGGGTGGGGACTGGGAAGAAGAACAGAGCTGAGGATTATAGGGAAGCCTGGGGATTATACACACATTGGCTGTTCTAAATGGGAGTAAGACTCACTCAGATTTCCAAAGAATTTACTGGAAATACTGGTAAATGAATAGAGGAATGACTAATAAAACAATCAAGGTTAACTGTCTTCTCTTTTAGTGTACTTGTACTGTTTGCCATGTTCTCCCCTATTTTAAGCATGACAGGTAAAATAAATTTTCAAACCAGGAAAGCAATCCTTTCACCTGTTGAATTTTCAAGAAATCCAAGCAATTTTAAACGGTAATAAGAGGTAATACAGGTGCTAAATGTTACAGGTTACTGCCTGAAAATGAGAACACTGTGTTTGCCTTTTCCTTTATGGTCAGTTCCAGCCAAAAATGAATAATAAAGACAGTTGAAAAAAAAGACTTGGGAAAAATAAAGCAGAGAGTCTTTTCACACTACATTACACTGACATGAAAAATGGGAGTAGTAAATCCAGATGCCATTAGTTGGCAAATAAATAGCTTCCCTTTTTACTTGTTTTTCCTTCTGAAGATAAAACTCACCCTTGTGAGAGGAAAGGAAGCAATGGCAAATCACAGATGGTGTCAAAATTTGGTGAGTGAGTGTGTCGCCAATATTCTTACAACACTGAAAGGTCTTCTGTGGTTCTTTTTTACTGTACAGACCCACAGCAATGAAGAATCTATATGTTTTAATTGTAAAAAGCAAAATTTTGATATTGCGGTGACATTAAAACTTGAGTAAATTAAATTTCAGAGCATGAATCCAGGACTAACTGTCAAGGTGTAAGTAGTGAACACACAGAACCCGTCAAGACACAGTCTCCATTTGTACCCCAGAGTGCTTCCACCACTTTGTCAACTGGTTATGAAACACCACAAGCATCTATACTACAACAGACCACCCAACCCAAGGCAGTCCCTGAACCACGAAGAAGTGTACCTGTACAACAACAGGACACCAAGGAATTCATCTCTGACCATCTCAATAAACAGTCACACAAGCTCTCCTCTGTTGACCAAGGTACAAGGAGAAATGCTGAAGGTTTTGATGCGAACTCTACATCGATCAAACCTGAACCTGGAAAACAATTTATTGATAGAAAACAGGCTGGTAATGTTTCGGTGTCAGGGGCATCCAAGGATAGCCAAAGGAGAGGCTCTAATTCTTCATCTATAAGTTCCTTGTCTGATATCATCCAAGATATCAGGATTTCTCCACATGAAGCTAAATTAGCCACCGAGAACATACCCACTAAAGGTAAATAGGTTTCTGTTTTAAATTGCACATGTAGTTTTTCTTGTCATTTAATTTCTCTCAGATTTAGTAGACATACTAGCACATGTTGCTAGTTAACCCTTTAACTACCAGATCAAAGTTGTAAGTCTCCTTACTGTCAACCATACAATTCTTGTAATATTAGTTCAGAGAATTTAGTATTGAATCAACTAATTATCCCCAAATTGATATTTTTCTTTATTCTCATCACTTATCTGGTTGATATTGTATTGATATTGTAAGGAGAAATTCTGTCTTGGTCACTCATGGGAGTTACAGGGTTAGATGGATACAGATTTTAAAACTTCAAGCTTTGAATCTCAGAAAAATATAGCTAAATGGTTTGAGGTAACCTGTCCAGAACAAACCTCCAGTCCTACAGCATTACCAATAGTGAGCTGAATTAAGTTTAAACTACAGAAACAATTAGCCTCAGTCTGATGGACCAATTTTCCCAAGTGCAAACCATACCTTAAGTCTTTAGTCTGTATACAGTACACTTATTATTGCTGCTTTAATTAGTTGGTTTCTAAATGAGAGACATGTTAAACATGACATGAATTTCCCTCAATGCCTGCTATCATGCTTGAATTCCCCTTCTTGGTATGTAAAAGCAATACTAGGAAAAACGAAAAAAAGTGGAATTTCCTTGTCTATATATTTCTCAGCCCCTCCTCCCTTCTTCTCAATCCTCCTGCCCCCATTCCCCCCATCATCATAGCTGGATATACACTCCCTATACCTTTCTTCTTGGAGTTCTGTTTTTTTTTTTTTTCTTTTTCACTAATCAAACCATGAAGAGTTTACTTAATTATATGATAAGAGTGTTGTTGTCCTTCTTTCTTATTTGTTGTTACAGTTCAACTGCCCCTGTATCCTTTCAAGAATGGCCAGAGACTGGAAGTTGTTGTCACTGAGGTATTGAGTCCGTGGGAGTTTTGGGTTCAACCTGTTGGCACAGAGCTGGATTTACTCATGGAGGAAATGTGGTGAGGGACAAATGAACTTGGTGACTTGAAAATATTGTCAATAATTATTTACTCTGCAAATCTTTCAGAGGATTTTTAAAGCTTTTGAGACTGGTTTTTAGACATTAGTGATGATGATAATGACCATGATGATGAGGTAAACTCAGGAATTAAAAGGCATCCTGACATTTCCCAGAAGTGATCAACTTGTAACTTCTCCCCATGATATTCATACATTATCCAGCTGACAGGTACTGAGAATACTCTGACTTATCAGGTAGAAGTTGTTGTCTTGATCTAAAAACAAATTCTCTGAGCTGATTTATAAGGAAATGTGTAACAACTATAGGGGAGAATTAATGATCAGATCTAGGGAGTTAACAAATTTATTTCCCATCATTTAGGGTTCTTGGAAGGACAGCTAGACAAATTCATGCATCATTACTGGAGTTCAATCAAATTGAATTACTAATTCCTGCCTGTTCCCCTCCATTTTTTTAATTCATTTTATTTTTCGTCACCCTCCTAGCATGCACTATGCAAAAATGGCAGCAGCCGGTTACAAAGGAGGACTTATAACTGCGCCTGACGTCGGTGACTTCTGCTGTGCAAAGTTTACACAAGATGACACTTGGTACAGAGTGTTAGTGACAGGTGTTAAAGAATCGGCCAAAGGTAATGATGTCACGCTTTAGCAGGGCCCTCTGAAAAATAAAAATTTAGCCCGCGAGAGGAGCCTCCATTTTTGCGCGAGTGTTTCTCCGCGCGCGGGAAAGTATGAGGCGTTGAGTAACGTGATCCCGCAAGAGGTTTATATTGACAATATTTGCAATGGGAATTATCAGTGCCAGACCCCCGGAAAACTTCTCCAGACTCGTCTCAAATCTTCCTGCGCGGAGTAACGCGCATCCTGCAGCGTCAATTAATAAAGTTCTGCGCGCACGCTACTAAAATATTAGCTTGCGCCATGGATTTCAATTGTGTTTTTAGGCGAGCAAAGGAAAGCGCCAGGCGAGCGTGAGTGGAGCGCGAGAACGAGCTACGTGCGAGGTGAGGGGCGCAACAAAGATGATGCGGCACCTTGATGCGCTTCTCCCCTTGCACGTGACTCACCCTTGTTTCTCTCCCAGGTAATAACCTTCTAAATTTTTACTACCTACCTGCATGATAGTGTTTGGAAATTGTAAGGAGAATTTACACTCTCATCACACCTGGAGAAAAAAGGTTAAGGGTGGACGTAGGTTTAAATTAAGCGCTGGGAGTGAATAACGTTGCTCGCTGGCATCAAAGTAAACTGTTTTCTACCGTTTTCGAGTCTTCACTTAGGTTCGAATAACACAACGTTTGCACCAGACTCAGCGTATGCACCCTTTATCCCTTAACCCTTTAACTCCCAAGATCTGATTGTTAATTCTTCCCTCTAGCTGTTACATATTTCCGTGTAAATAAGTTACGAGAATGTGGTATTGGATCAAGATGACAACTTCAACCTGATAAGTCTGAGTATTCTCATTACCTTTATGCTGGGTAATGTATGGATATCATGTTAATCACTTCTGGGAGTTCAAGGGTTAAGAGTGACCAACATCTAATTTCTCGTTACTTTTTTTACCCATTGAATCACACAAACAGAACAAAGGAAATGATAACAAACTTAACAGGTCTTGGTTGTTATATAAATTCTCCTTGTCAGCACCCTAGGAAATGTATCGAGAACAGAAGGGAGAATATGCCTACTGATGTTAGGGTGTAGAATGGTAAAAAAAAAAAACTGCCTCGATTTTTAGGACCATCTGTTGGAGTCCTTTGCGTTGATGACGGCAACCGTGAGGAACTTGGTCTTTCCCGTCTCCGTCCATTGGAAGAAAAATTCCTTAAACTGCCTTGTCAAGCTCTGTGTTGTGCACTGTCGGGTGTGAGGCCGGTTAGTCTACAGCAACAAAAGACAGGTATTTTCACTTAGCGATTAACTTCAATTATTCGTGGCGTAAAAATCAATTTTCTTTCTTTTTTTTTTTTTTTCCAGTCAGGCTGGAATGAGTAGATACATCAGATGCAAACCCACTGACCCGTTTGTCAGTATCAGATCGAGCGCAGTGTTTTATTGACTCGTGTTTTCAAGTTTTTTTTCCATGTTTTTTTTTAAATTTTTTTTTTAATTCACTTATAGGAGCTGAGACCTCTTTATGGAGTGCGGACTCCATTGCGTGGTTAACACACAAAGTGTCCGGCACGAAGCTTTTAGCATATCCTTCAAGAGTCGAATCCAGCAAGTTTGTCATTATCGATCTCTACGTGTTCCCTCCCAAGAACCCTAAGCTAAAAACCCCAGTATCATCTGTCACAGGTAAAGGTCTCCCGGGGCTACAGTACAGTATTGCAGAGATGATGGTAATCTCCGGTATGGCGCAGCGAATCATGCTCCAAGTTAGAGATGGTAGCTCGTGCAGTGGCGGGTCGAGTCCCTTGTCTGGGGGAAGCAACGGGTGTTTAACTCGGAGCTGCAGTAGTGTTAGTATCGGGAGCAGCGTGCAGGAAGGAGATGGGCTCGTTGAGAAGTGTGTAGACAATGTAAATTGTAAAGAAGAAAATACGTTTACGGACAATTCGTGCTCATCGAAAGAAACTGTTATTCACACGCCGGCTCTAACGAACGAAGAGCGTGCAAAGGTGAATGAAGAGTCTTCCACGGATGAAACAGAGAATACAGATGTCACTTTTGGACAGAAGGTGACGGATAAACAAATCGACGGCGCACTTGGATTAAGCTTGAAAGAAAGAAATTTCGAACATTCCCTGGACCAAAAAGACATAAAACCTATCGGTAAGTAAAAAAAGTTACCCAACGTAGATGAACTGATAAAACATTAGAGCATCATCATTTAATAGCTGGTTGAAATAACGTTCTATTTATGCGTTCTGATAAGCTAAGAACGCGAGTTATGAGCTTAGGGAAGCAATACTATGTAAAAGTTGTCTTTTCATGTTACTCAAAATCCTTTTATTTCCTCTCCGCTTTCTTTTTTTTCATCATAGACGTATCGATGTTCTCTGAGTCCCTTCCCATGTCAGGCCCTGAAGAGTCCTTCATCACTGAGCTCCGACCCGTAGAGGGCCCTGTGTGTCTACAAATGCTGATGTCTCATGTTGTGAGTCCCAGCGAGTTTTATGTTCATCTTGTAACTCCAGATGCTGGAATTCTGGATGTAATGATGGACGAATTAAACAAGTTCTATGGCAGTACGTAAATTTATTCTTTTTTGTGCCCTGTAATCTTGACTTTTTGTTTTTATCTTTCATCTTCTGAAACCTCTCTAACGATTTTCCCTTTTAATTATCCACAGCTGACCCTTTTCCCCAAAGTTGTGCGCCGAGTAATAGTTACCAGCCCCAAATAGGAGACTACTGCTGTGTTCGGTTCACACCGGACGGGAGGTGGTACCGCGGACTGGTGACCAGTGTTCGCTGGACTGTGGATGGTCAAGGTCCAATCAGCAGTGCTCACGATGTCCAAGTATTTCATGTAGATTTTGGTAGTTCTGAGTTTGTTTCCGTTGCTGATATCAAGCCTCTTGTAGCCAAATTCCTAACGCTACCTGGGCAGGTGGTGAAATGCAAGCTGGCGAACCTTAGACCTTTGATAATTGAAGGTTAGTCAATGTTTGATTTTTTTTATAACAGGGCTTCAAGCTCAACTATTCTCAAATATGAAGGGGGTAAGTTTCTAAAGAAACTGGTTTTGCATCGGTAGGGGTATAACAAGGTTATTTGGTTTTATCAACTGAGTTAACAATGTAGATTGGCCACCGTAAGAAATTACTAAAACGGACATTTCGAGCGTTAGACCTTCGTCAGAGCGAATTAAAGAATTTTTTTTCTATTCGTTCATTTTATTTCTTGTTTTCAAAGGCTACGAGACCTTTCGATCCAATATTTCAATATGGCTGGTAAAATTTTAGCCACAATTCAGAACATTTTAAACGTACGTTAACTTGTAACGTTTACTCACAGAGACCCCGATAGCACTAGAAGAAAAACCTGCTATTAAAGAGATAACAGAAGAGGCCAGCCTCCCGGCAGATGTAACTCCCCCAAAGGAAGAGAAACCAGTAGCGGTGGGTGAACGGCCTTCGAAATCTGATCCTTCTCCCACAGGAAAATCTGGCAGCAAAAGAAACAGAAGGAAACGAAAACGACCCCCCAAAATATCGTTAAAGGATGAAAAAATTGTTATACGCGCGGCTGGTGATGAATCTTATGACAGCAGTGAGATGAGTGAGATTGAATTCATTAAAAAAAGAGACCAGGAGAAAGGGAAAGAGACAGTGAAAGATGAGGATAAAGATAAGGCTGCGTTTCCGGTGAGTGCAGAAAAAACTAGACCTTGGGGTATGGAATCTCTCCCCTCCCCTCCCCTCCCCTCCCCTCCCCCACCCTTTTCCCTGGTCTGACTCGCTAGATTCGCCATTGATTGATTGTTGTTTGATTGATTGATAACTTAATTTATACAGGGTTAAAAATTCCTTCAGCATAGTATGCCAGTAAAACTCCTGATTCAGCCTAGCTGTCCTAACTAATAAAATAAGAAAAAACCTATCATGTCGTGAGGTTCCGTGTCTCATTCGAAGCTATGATAACGTAGTCTGCGATTAAATTCATTTGAGGAAGCTGCAGAATGTAGATCTTGGGATAGGCTGTTCCACACCTCAGCACCTTTGTAAGAAAAACTTTTCATTAAATGATTGGTTCGGGGCGAAAAAGCGCCATTTCCAAAGTAGATTTTCGGGAGAAATTCCATGTAGATTCTTGTACGTCATAATTGATGTCGCTTCTAGTCCTTGAAGATTGAATTTACGCTAACTCAGTGCCCGGGACGACTCATTAAAATCATGTTCATTGCTTTCCAGCCTTAGAATCGGAGCTGCACGGTTTTGGAGCTTCTGTTCCTTTTCAGCAGGGCCAATGCTGAATTGCTATAGCGTGCAACCGTGAAAGCCTGGGTTCAAATCCTCTCAAGAGACCTCTTTTTTTCTTCCAATGTCCGTGACGAATCTGTAACAACTTTATCCATTTATCCTTTTTTTACAGGAAAAATACTTGCTTCCCAGTCCAAGTACTAGTCCAGAAAAACCGTTCCCTCTTCTTAATGAATCTCCTCCCGTTCAAACAGCGGAAAAATGGCCCGAAGGCTCGTCAGAATTGTTAACCGGGCTGACGGATGATAACAGGAAATTAGTGGGTTACATGGTGCCGTGGGATGCATGGGTCTATCAACAGCTGTTCAACCCTGCTATTGGTGGAACAAAGGTTATATCAAGACTTTTTCAATTTCTTTTTACGAAACTTCCGTCAAATCTGCACTCCAAGCTGGGACCGTTTTGGTCGCCATCGCGAGTAGGACAATTTTGGCGACAAAATTTGCCAATTTTTTGGCAATCTTTGTTATTCTAGGTTAAATAGCAACCGCTTTGAGGCCAAAATTTCTAACCTGATTGGTTTTTAGTGATGCTTCTCCACTCGAGCTCAATGTCTGGAGTTTACTGGTGACAAGTGGATATTGGTTTGCATTTGGTCAGTCGATCTCATCGCTTGACGTAGACTAGCAGTATGTGGTTTGAGCGATTTCATCTAGGGACAAGTGATTTTGCATCATTACCAGAATGATCGCATCGATGGATAAGCACAAACTTTTTTTGACGATAGTTTTAATTTTTTTCACAGGTCGATATATCTTACAAGAAGCCCACGCTAAGCCTTGACCTGTACGACACTACCGGCGACGAGGATATCTTTATCAACCAAGTACTTGTGGAGACGGGAATAGCAGATTTTGTAGAAAATCCTGCAGAACAAACAGGTAAATCTTTTATGAAGGAAATTTTTGACGTTCCGCATGTGGCTTATTGTATATTTTGAGCATTTGCTGTCCGGTCGTGTAATTCGCTGTGACGAAAGGCTAACGTTCGAAATGTCAGCTTCTAAACTCTTTACGGTGGTCAATTTACGTTATGAGCCCAGTTGATAATACCTAATTACTCAGTCGTGTAATAACTTGGTTGGTCATTCGAATGTCCGACGGTCAGTCGAACGTTCGGTTCGCTCGTTGGACGGTCGATTGATCGTTCAGTTGGCCTGTCGAACGGTCGGTTGATAGTTCGGTTAGTTCGTCGGACGTTCGGTTGATCGTTCGGTTGGCCTGTCGGACGGTTGTCTATTCGGTTGATGTTTGTTACAACCTGTCGGGCTGTCGGTGGATCGTCGGCTCGGTCTTTTGGACGGTCGGTCGATTGTTCGTTTAACATGGTGGACGATCGTTTGGCAAGTCGGATGGTCGGTCGAACGTTCGGTTGGTCGGTCGCTATGTTAGACAAGCACTCGATAACGATGGATGTCGACATGCTGAAAATATTAACCGATTTTATTACTTTCCATTAGGAACTGATGTTATGACGGTTCAACTTACTCTCCAAGATTTAGAGAGCACTGCGTCAAGTATGCAAGCACAAGGTATCTCACTCGCACTCGATTGGACGGTCAAAGTTTCGAGCCGGTCGATTGACCCTCTCACTCCCGAAATCCCGTTTGTGATTCTCCTTACTATCTGTCATATAGTTCTTTTGATGTTTGTTCGGAGAATTTAGTATCGGATCAACTAGTAATCCCTAATTGATATTTTTCTTTATTCTCGTCACGTGTCTGCTTGATTTTGTGTCGACATTGTAAGCAGAATTTCTGTCTTGGTCACTCATGGGATTTAAAGGGTTAAGCTAACCTAGAGTCGCCTGTGCGACTGAATATTGACCGTTGGCGACCAGGATTTTAATGATGGTTGCCAACAGGTGATTGATTCACTGGCTTGTCGGTGTTCTTCGCATGAACCAGCGCTCATGTAAAGAAACTTCCCTCGTTTTCTTTGTTTCGTTCATACATATTTAACGTGGTGATCGTTCACGAGTGGGAAAATGTGTTCAGTTTCATCAGTGACACGTCTTGAAAACTGTTTGTTTTCGTATCTCACTGTTTACGACAAATTGTCTCATCCGGCGATTGAAACGAAATTTCCAGTCGCTATTGCACGCAGCGTAGGATGGTAAATTTGGAAAGAATAAACCAAAAACGAGCACGGATGGTTGGCTCTTTAATTCTCAGGAGTGACCAAAGCAGAATTTCTCCTCGCAATATCAATATAATATCAAGCAGACAAGCAATGAGAATAAAGAAAACTATCAATTAAGAGATTATTAGTTGATCCGATACCAAATTCTTAAAACTAACAACAGAAGAATTGTATGGCAGATATTAAGGAGAATTACTAATGAGATCTTGGGAGTATAAGGGTTAAATATGAGGAATATTATAACGATTGTGAATGAATATTTTGAAATATGTTTTTGAGGCACTCTTAGCTTTTATGAGTGACTGAGACAGAATTTCTCTACACAATATCATTACTATATATCAAGCAGACACTTGATGAGAATAAAGTAAAATATAAATTAGTGGATATACCCCACATTACTGAACTGCAATTATCACAAGTAAAAACATTCATCGCTCGAATACTTATCTGGACAGGTTCGCCTTCGGACGAGAAGGAAGCAAAGGCTATTACAAGTCCAGCAAGCCCGACTAGTCCGCTTAAAGACTGGGATCCAATGAAGGAAGATTTTCTTTCATCTAAAAACAGCTACGCTATAAACAGTGATGACTTGGACATCGTCTTTCAAGGACACCGTAAGTATCCGAGTTTCGCCTTTGCAGCCTTTAATCTGGGCGGTTTTACTAGAAGTATTGCAAAAGCTTGTCTGTAAGTCTGTTCTTTCGATTGATCGTGATAGGAAAAATTAACTCGAGTATGTGTTGCTCAGTAATATTTTTTTCACCAGGGTTTATTTATATACTCCAAAAGTTGAAACTGAATGTGCCTTGTGACTGTGTCGTCTGAAGAATCGTTGTCGGTAGTAGTGACTGACGTTTCGACAACCTGAACAGCAGAGTTAAATTAATAGTTGTGGTCAGTCGAATGTTTTGAGTCCAGTTCGTGTAAACTGATTGGTCAGTTTAGCCGTGATGTTAGTGGCTGTAAGACTCGAGTGCAATAAGTCGGTCGTGATTGACCAGTGTCGATCCGTCGGTAGAATTACGTCGTTCTTGTTGGTTCGTTTGTGATGTAAATGTCGTGAATAAGTCGTTTGTATGGTGCAGGAATTGATGACAGCTGTTGAGGGGAGTCTGTTCTTAGTTTTCCAGAGTCAGTCTTTGAAAGGTAGGTTAGGCATTGGGCAGAGTCTGAGGTCAAGGCCACCTGAAAGTAGTTTTCATTGGAATGGTAATTTACTAAGGTTTTATTCACAGAATCAAAAGCGAGAACCACCTTGTGTGGCACAGTAAACAGCACTACATGGAAGTACTGGCACTTAAGATGAGAACCCTCGCGGACCTCGCGGGCGCTCCTCAGACCTTTTTTTTTCTTAAACCTTGGTCTTTATTTCAGAGGACCTGAGCAGAAGAGTATGCCGTTATTATCAGACAAGATCAGGGTGCTGGCGTGGAGACCAGTGTCCTAATCTTCATGTTAAAAAAGGTATGACTTGACGTGCGTAACATTAAGATGAAACAAAGCTGGCGAATAGATCGTAGGTTTTTCTTTCGTACCAGGAACCCATTGCATTTCGTGCCTAGTTATTGTTTCTTAGTTCTGTAAGACCCCTGAGGTGGATGGGTGGGTGTGCACGATTTCCCCCCCCACTCTCTCCCTCCCTCCGCAATGCACTGTGGGGGAATGCTCGGCTTAAAAGAAGTACTTTTTGTCAAATTACGTAGAGTATGTATAATCGAGTTGGTCTGTCATAATGTGAACTGTAAAGAAGGGCAAAGAAAGATATCAGAAGGTGTTTGAAAAGGTCCCGAGATTTGTCTGTTGTTGGAGTACTTTTAGAACGGGTTATTGGCCGAAGTGAAATGTAGTTACGAAAACTTTCCCTCAAATTTTTCCCATTTCGATTTCTGGATTGTTAGAGGGAACTTTAGAGTTATTTTTGTTTTCTCTTTGATCGGTGTTTCATTGATGCTCATTACACAGGTTCGAAATTTTCCCCTCGCATATCACGTGTTAAAAACTGTAAAAATCCTCGATTGCCTTGTAATTACTTTAACCCAAACGCAGGTGAAGAACTTCATGACTACGTGGAGGCCTTTTGTGACAATATGGATTCCTCTGTCACGCTACCTGATATCGGTACCTGGGTTGCAGTTCGCGTCACGGCCATCTTCAATCCGGGACATTTCTGGGTGCAGTTCCCCTACGGAACAGAACCAATAGAAAAACGTATCATGGCTGGTATGTTTTTGGTATTACTGAGCATGCTCTGAGTTATTCTGTCTTGGTCCATTCTTGTACCATATGTTTTAGATGCTTATGCGGTCCTATGGCGCGCTGGGATCACAAGGTCTTACTGTTACCCATTACTCTATGATATCAATTAAGTAAACGAGGTGATTTTCTAGAGAAACTGTGATGATGCGTTGGTGCGGGTATTACGAGATAATTTAGCGTTATCGACTGAATTGATAATGTAAACTGGCCGCCGCAAAGAGTTTCTTAACCTGAATTTTCGAGCGTTAGCACTTCGTCAGTTTGCATCAGTATGCATATTATCCATAGTGTTCTCTGTACATTTGTTATAATGCTATCGAAGAGAATTCGTTTAATCATTGAGAGCTTTCTTTAGTCGCCGATCATTCTTATGACCTCAATGTTTGATTAAGGGGTGATAATGTGAGGAGAGATTAGATCCAGGGAGTGGTGTAGGTCAAGAACTGAACACAACTCGGACATAGTTGTAGTACCATTCTATACATACCCAGCAGAATTTAAACGTAGTCCTTATTTTTATTTATTAATTCATTTATTTAATTTTTATTTTCAGCGAGGTTGAATCGAGAGTTTGAATTTGATAACGAGGAGCGAGAAGAAGATCTTGATTCTTTGATGGCCAAAATCGGGTGATTTTTCAATTATTTTAGTTTAATTAACCTTTTGTGTTTATTTTTATAGTTACAGTAACTATTAATCATCTTTCAGTGACGATCAAAGCCTAGGAAATCACGCGAAATACCTAACGATTGTTGAGTACGAAAACTCGGTAAAGAGTCAGGCGAGTGAGATACAGGAAAAGCTCTGTTATATTCACTTGTGACATTCTTAACAACAATAATACCACTGGATGCCATAATACCACCTGATGCTGGATTTTCGGTTCCAGGACTTACATTCGGTGGTCGCGTATTTAAAATAGAGGCCATGTAAACAAAACTTATATAACGCGGATTTTATTGCTATTTAACGTAAGAAACTGACCGTACTTTAAACATACCCAACATGGAAAACATACTTTATTCGTAAAAAGAAAAAGAAAAAAACTAAAACGGAGTGGGTATGAATGGTCCTAGCTGGGTATGAATCGACTGAGTACGAAACGGCCGTGGGTACGAAACGTCTGGTGTGCGAACATTCCCTTTTCTAACGTTTTCACGTTTTTCTCCTCGCAGGAAATTTTATTCTCGAAACAACTGTCAAGATCCCAGGCGTATTTTTCCCGCTGAAGGTGAGCTGTGTGTGGCCAGGTACTCCAAAGACGATAAATGGTACAGAGCGCGTATCACAGGCGTGCGAGAGGACGAACTGCAGGTAAAATAAGAAGAAATTTCTCTAGTCCCCCCTTAATACTCAGTTGACGACGACTGAACCCCCCTCCCATATACGTTCCCCCAGAAAACAGTGTGATCCTCCTAAGTCCTCCGATGTTGTTCATAGCGGCACAATAGGACTTGTATAGGGCCAGCACGTGCCCTATGTTCTAACAAATTTTTCAACCTTATTAAAATCAAGCCAAGGTTCAAAAAGTGCCTGTAGCCTGTAAAAAGTGCCTGCTAGTTTGCCATTTTTGGTTTTTAAATTTTCATAATCGCTCTTGGAAACGTCTCACTCGAAGGACTTGATTCTGTACCCTGAAAGAGAAAGAGCCAAAACAATCAGCTTAAGGGGATACAAACAAAGACATAGACATAAAAATATAAGTTAATCTTTGCTAGAAAAATATTAAGAATTCAGAGTGAGAGATCCTAAAATCAGAGAATCTTGAAATAAGTTTAGTCCATCTTGTGCAAACGCAGTATTCGAACTGTAACCCTCTCTATCTCTTGGCGCCAAAATTAGAAGACATGACTTTAGTTGTGAAACCGCTGAGACTCAACAAGGCTCAGGAGAAAAGGCGAACCACGCATGCGTCAAATTATCTGTATATATCGTACCGACCAAGAACTCGTGTCATCTCACCGTGGTTCAGCGTTCATTACAATCAATTTCTTGAACTTTAGACACTCTTTTATAATAAGGCAGTACCTTGGTTCGTTTGCACCTTGGGCAATGCCAAGGAGATCTTGGACGTCGCAACAATCCTTCTCTGCAATGTAAGATAAGAACAATGATCAATGGAGCGGTCAAGTTCGTGTATGTTAAGTTAAAATAAAATACGTTGTTAAGCAAATTTATTTCGCTTACTTATCCTTTCTTGAGTCTTATTCCATGCGAATGGAGCTAAGAAACAGCCTCTTCAGTGATGGATGAATTCGCTGCTATAATTCATTATTGTGTCTGACGCACGCGGTCTAGGTTCTAATGTGATACCCAGAAGGAGCTGCTTAGACTCACTGGCAAAAGGAGGACGCATTTTGGAGAGAAATCTCTTATACAACAACATTTTACTCATTAAAAAATACACAGCATAAATTAGAGTAAGCCAATCGAGAGTTCATTGTGCCGGTTTCGACCGAGTGAAAGATCCACTTTTATCGGTATATGGCCCTTATAACATTCCCGAATCCCTACGTCCTTGTGTCGTTCAAGCCGTGATGGGACTTCCATGTGACCAAAATTGTTGACACTTTTGGGTTGATTATCAGTCATTTCAAGAATTACACCTTGTTAGGGCCAAATTGATAAATCCTACTTAGCTATCGAAAGGGCCAAATTGAGAAAAAGTTCCAAAGTAGAATTCATTTGGGCCAATTCTGATTTTGGATGGGCCGAAATGGTACCTGTCTGACCTGTTTTGGCGTAAATAGTCCAAAACGAACCCCGAGGGGCCAAATTAGTCCTCAAAAGGTTAGGACCAATATGGCTTTTGGGGTCAATTTGGCTCTCTTCATTTGATATTTTCAGAGTTTAGTGAATATCTTGGAATGTGAATTTTTCCTCCTTAATATCAACTTAAAGAGTTTTTTCAAAACATTTAAAAGTGGCAGACTTGACCACCTTAATTAGTAGATTGTTCAAATATTTGTTTAATGTTATTACCCTTTATGACAGCGAGTACGTTGGTTTGTCTTTCCTCTTACTTCTTCTATCAGTTTTAATGACACATCTGTCATAAAGATGTGGTGTTTACCAATTACTTTGATCCTATTTTCATTTACTCACAAATCAACTTTAGCCATTGAACCTTCCCTTTCTGTGAACTGGGATTTCCGGCGACTCGAGGAGGCTGATATTGTGGGGTTGATAACAGCGGTCCGCTACAAGGATGGTAAATCCTTAGACTTCATCTTAGTCCATAAAAATGAAGAAAAAGAAGTCGGTCATTATTAAGCCATCTCGACCGAAAAAACTCAATCAATAAAGCATTTGTATTCAGTCTATTCATCTCCACCTCCCTGAATGAATGTTAAATATTTATATAAAGGAATTCGGTTGTGACTGGTGTTTCCAATATTGGTGATTATTTTTACGGCTTTGGCTGGTTATCAGCGCTAATTGGTAGCTAATGAACAGTTGACATTTTCAGAGTTTAGTGAATATCTTGGATCCCCTGTCACTCAGCTTGTTTGGCGTAGTTTTCAACAAGTGTTGTCTTCATTTTCTATGAAAGTGTTAGATATTTCTTCACAGCGGCGTAGATGGGTAAATATTGAGTAAATAAACCCTTGTCAGGGGCTGGTAAGTCAGCCGATAATGTCCGCGGCTGAGCTATTGTCCAAAACTGAATATTTGTTCGAGAAGTAAAGCTTTGAGGGCAAATGTGAATTTTTCCTCCTTAATATCAACTTAAAGAGTTTTTTCAAAACATTTAAAAGTGGCAGACTTGACCACCTTAATTAACCGATTGTTCAAATATTTGTTTAATGTTACTACCCTTTATGACAGCGATTACGTTGGTTTGTCTCGCCTCTTACTTCTTCTATCAGTTTTACCGACACATCTGTCAGAAAGATGTGGTGTTTACCAATTACTTTGATCTTATTTTCATTTACTCATAAATCAACGTCAGCCATTGAACCTTCCCTTTCTGTGAACTGGGATTTCCGGCGACTCGAGGAGGCTGATATTGTGGGGTTGATAACAGCGGTCCGCTACAAGGATGGTAAATCCTTAGACTTCATCTTAGTCCATAAAAATGAAGAAAAAGAAGTCGGTCATTATCAAGCCATCTCGACCGAAAAACTCAATCAATAAAGCATTTGTATTCAGTCTATTCATCTCCACCTCCCTGAATGAATGTTAAATATTTATCTAAAGGAATTCGGTTGTGACTGGTGTTTCCAATATTGGTGATTATTTTTACGGCTTTGGCTGGTTATCAGCGCTAATTGGTAGCTAATGAACAGTTGACATTTTCAGAGTTTAGTGAATATCTTGGATCCCCTGTCACTCAGCTTGTTTGGCGTAGTTTTCAACAAGTGTTGTCTTCATTTTCTATGAAAGTGTTAGATATTACTTCACAGCGGCGTAGATGGGTAAATATTGAGTAAATAAACCCTTGTCAGGGGCTGGTAAGTCAGCTGATAATGTCCGCGGCTGAGCTATTGTCCAAAACTGAATATTTGTTCGAGAAGTAAAGCTTTGAGGGCAAATGTGAATTTTTCCTCCTTAATATCAACTTAAAGAGTTTTTTCAAAACATTTAAAAGTGGTAGACTTGACCACCTTAATAAACCGATTGTTCAAATATTTGTTTAATGTTACTACCCTTTATGACAGCGATTACGTTGGTTTGTCTCGCCTCTTACTTCTTCTATCAGTTTTACCGACACATCTGTCATAAAGATGTGGTGTTTACCAATTACTTTGATCTTATTTTCATTTACTCACAAATCAACGTCAGCCATTGAACCTTCCCTTTCTGTGAACTGGGATTTCCGGCGACTCGAGGAGGCTGATATTGAGGGGTTGATAACAGCGGTCCGCTACAAGGAAGGTAAAGAGAGTCGACTTCATCTCGGTCCACAGAAATGAAGAAAAAGAAGTCGGTCATTATCAAGTTATCTCGACCGAAAAAACTTAATCAATAAAGCATTTGTATTCAGTCTATTCACCTCCACCTCCCTGAATGAATGTTAAATATTTAAATACAGGAATTCGGTTGTGACTGGTGTTTCCAGTATTGATGATTTTTTTTTACGGCTTTGGCTGATTATCAGCTCTCATTGGTAGCTCAGGAACAGTTGATATTTCCAGAATTAGTGAATATCTTGGATCCTTAGTTAATTAGCTTGTTTGACGTAGTTTTCAACAGGTGTACGGTGGCGTACCTGGCCTCTCACATCTTTCAGCGGTTTTACTGGCACATTTGTCAGAAAGATGTCTTATCTTCCTGTCACTTTGATCCTCTTCTTATTTACTTACAAATCATCTTCAGCTATTGAATCCTCCCTTTCTACAAACTGGGATTTCCAGCAACTCAAGGAGGCTGATATTGAGGGGTTGATAACAGATGTCCGCTACAAGAACATTATTGACAAATATCAAATTCAAACTGGACACAGAGGTTACCCCGACGTAAAGGACATCAAACTTTTGAGAGTGGTAAAAGACAAGGTAAAGCAAAACTTGTCGCAACAGAATTTCCATACCAATGTTTCTCAAGGAACAGAGTTTCCAGTGCGCTTTCTCGATGACGCAGAAGACGAGAGAACGCATAAACTACACATTATAACCAAAGGCCCCGAAAGTGGTGCAGTTTGCTTTGACGGAACTCCTCCTGGATTTTATTTTCGCAGTGGAAATGGCTCGGGAAAATCGAAGTGGATTATATATTTTCAGGGGGGCGGATGGTGCTACCGTATCGAGAGATGTTATAGAAGAAGTGTGACAGCGCTTGGCTCGTCCAAATTTTTCCGGAAAACTATTCTCCTGGAGGGACTCCTTTCCAACCAAGCTAAATACAACCCCGATTTTTACAACTGGAACTCAGTCTTTGTGGCATACTGCGATGGTGGGTCTTTCACTGGAAATCGCGATAAACCATTAAAATTTAAAGACAGACTGCTCTACTTCCGAGGTCACCGAATACTTGATGTTCTTTTAGACGAGTTGCTCCGGAAAGGTCTCGACAGTGCTTCCGACATAATAGTCGGTGGAAGATCGGCTGGGGCCCTTACTGCCATCATACACGCCGACTATATCGGGTCGCGTTTACGACGCGCGACGAACGCATCTTTTCGGGTGCTTTCTGATGCGGGTTTTGTCTTAGACGAACGCGCGCTGAATGGCTCTGCAATGGCACAGTCTATGTTTCAGCAGCTCTACTCTTTGCATAATGCTTCAAAGAGTTTAAATCGAGCTTGTCTTCGCGCGCAAGGGTCGGATCAAAAATGGCGCTGTTTTTTTCCTCAGTATTCTATCCCTTTTGTCACTTCCACGATGTTCTTAGTGAGCCCCTTGTACGATATGTGGCAATTGTTTTATTTTTCTCGAATGCCTTGCGTCTTTAATGTAAAGAGTTGCAATTCGACCGAAATACGTTTCGTAATGGAGTTTCGAAATATGACACTTCGAGCATTAAAAAACGTTCTGGCCTCCAAAACGACCTCGCTCTTCGCAAATGCTTGTCTTTCTCACACGCAGTGCGTTATGAACGATTATTGGACGCAAATTGCGATAAAAAATATCACACTCAAGCAGGCATTTTTCAACTGGTATCGTGGAAGAAATCAAAACAAATTCCTGATCGACCCCTCCCCCTATTTGGGTAACCCCACTTGTCCTAAGAATTATCATTGGTAAAAAATATGCGTGACATTAATATTAAACAGTTATCCACCACTTTCATCGACACTAAGGTAAATACTTGTTTCAGTTAATAGCACACATGTACCAAAAAAGAAAGTTTATTTCTGTCAATTTACCGAAAATTGTCGGAAATTAAATTCTCGACGCGCAAATTTGTCTCATCAGCTGCTCAGCAGTGAATGATACTTGCTAATCACCTCCAACTGGCCAATCAACGGTATGGAATATACTAATCAACAATTATTCGCCGAAGGCGGAGTATTTACAGGTTAACGCACTCGTTGTTCTTGAATCGAGCGAATTCAAAGAAACAAGATTGTCCAAAGCTGGCTAAACTGTTGACAACACGCAAAAACCTCAATTAGCTTGAATTAAAAATTTGAAATTCGCAACCTTACCTTTCAAAACAGTTATTCCCCAAGCAGTTGCTTTCTTGCTGTTTCTAGGAATTGTATCATCAATAAGAGAATCAGTGTCTGCATCTGACAAATCGTCAAACTTTGAGTCAGCCGAAGCCATGGTGTAATGATAGTGGTGTGCTGAATTTGCACCACGGCTATTACACCACGATAATGACGTCTGGGAGGTTGTTTCGTCACAACCAAGAATATCGGAATTCGTACAGTGTATGGAAGTTGAATAACAATGTTGTATAATCCCCGAGACGCATCTCTTTAATCAACTGAGCAATTCTACTAATGTTTGTTTTTAGGGACCTTAAGCAGATCATGTAACATGTACTTAAAGGTAAAGTTTGATTTTTAACAAGTTCAGTAGTCATACAGTTATAAAAGGAACTAGCAACTAAAAATTCTGTATATGCGAAAGGCGAATACCTGCGTAGAGTTATCACTACCCGGTCCACAGGAATGGAGATACATGGCCGGTTATTTCAACAAAGTTTAGCCGTTATTTAATGAAACGTCGTGCTAAACAATTCTCAATTCAACTACACCTTTTATCGGAACATTTAATTTTGTGAATAGTGCATGTCAAGAAGGCCGAAAGCTAGCAGTGGAAAGATGTTTATTCAATGATCTCGTTTATGACAATATTTTTTCAGGGTGGTGCGTGGTGTCATGATACTGAAACATGCTATCAACGAAGTGGCACAGCGCTTGGTTCTTCTAGATGCTACGGCCCTTTACCTTTCCAAAGTAGAAGGACTGCTTTCCAATGAAGCTAAATTCAACCCTGACTTCTTTAATTGGACGTCAGTGTTTTTTCCGTACTGTGATGGCGCATCGTTTTCTGGAAATCGCGCTAAACCATTAAAATTTAAAAAGAAACTTCTTTATTTTCGAGGTCACCGAATAATGGATGCTCTACTCGACGAACTTCTTCAGAGAGGCATCGGAAATGCTTCGGAAATAATATTGGCTGGTAGATCGGCTGGCGCTCTTTCTGCCATCATACACGCCGATTATATCCGATCACGTTTACGGAGCGTGACGAATGCATCCTTCCGGGTACTTTCGGATGCCGGATTTTTCCTGGACGAACCGTCTTTGAATGGCTCCAAAATCGCTCGATCGGTTTTTCAACAGATGTACTCGTTACATAATTCTTCAACGGGCTTAAATCAAGCTTGTCTCCACGCGCAAAAGCGTCAGTATAAATGGCGCTGTTTCTTTCCGCAATATTCTCTTCCGTTTCTTTCTTCGCCTATCTTTCTAGTGAACTCTTTGAACGATCTATGGCAGCTAGCTGTTTTCTCAAATATCCCGTGTGTTGTCGAAGTGAAGACTTGTTATTCAAAGGAGTTGCGTTTCCTTGCGAAGTTTCGCAAGAAAACTTTGCATGCTCTGCGTTCGGTTCTTGACTCCAGGAAGACAGCAGTATTCGCAGACGCTTGTCTGGCTCACACGCAGTGCGCCATGAACGATTATTGGACGCAAATCGAGGTAGAAAATATTTCAATTTCGCAAGCTTTCTCTGACTGGTATCGTGAAAGGGAACAAAACCGGTTTATGATCGACCTTCTCTCCTATTCACGTAACCCAACTTGCCCTAAGCGTTATTATTGGCGATAAATATAGCATTTTTTTAATTTTTGTATTTAGCTCTTAAGAAAAGATGCTGCTCCATAATCGCTTCCTTGCCCGTGAATATCTGCTTTGTGATTTTTATTGGTGTGCAAAATTACCTAAAACTGCAAAATATGAGGTCAATAACATCAAAAATTATGAAAGAGGCCAAAATAAACCAGGAAGGACAGCGAATGGCCGAGGATTGAAAATATTTCTATGAAGTGGAAATAGAGATAATTAAAATTGTTTGGCTGACTGTTATGATCGATCCAACTCTAGAGCGGTTTATGATGACGAAATTGTGAAATTTGATCTGTCGTGGATTTTAGGCTCATGAAATTGTTAGCACTTCCTAAATAAACATGTCTTGTGAGGGATTTAACAAATTTTTTTAAGGCTGAGCCTGTTTTAGCTCAGAAAATATAATTCTGAATGTGAAAAAAATTTCAGTACATTTGTAGGACTGAGGTTCAATATACTCAAACGAACAACTTCCGACCGTCATGTTTTTAAGAACAAGTTGCGTTGTACGTAGTTTCTGGATCATAGTATGGGGAGATTTCAATTGTTTCTTGCGGCTTTTTTACGGCTTTTTTACGTAGAGGAAAGGATCTGGAGTATAACAGGGTAATTTAGTATCATCATCAACTGAGCTGGTAACGAAAATTGACCGCTGTAAAGAGTTTTAAAAGCAGCACCACAGTTTCCTTAGAAATTTACCCCCTTTATTCATGGCTGGAGTAGTTTGGCTTGGACTGCAGATAAAACTTGAGAAATGAGGACCCATTTTGTAACCCTTTGACCCGTAAAAAAGACCTCCCATATACGTTCCCCTAGAAAACAATGTGATCCTCCTAAGCCCTCTGATTTTGTTCATAGTGGCTCAATAGGACTTGTATAGGGCCAGCACGCGCGCTATGTTATAACAAATTTTTCAACCTTATTAAAATCAAGCCAAGGTGCAAAAAGTGCCTGTAGCCTGTAAAAATTGCCTGCTAGTTTGCCATTTTTGGTTTTTAAATTTTCATAATCGCTCTTGAAAACGTCTTACCCGAAGGACTTGATTCTGCGCGCTGAAAGAGAAAGAGCCAAAACAATCAGCTTAAGGGGATACAAACAAAGGCATAGACATAAAACTATTAGTTCATCTTTGCTAGAAAAATATTAAGAGTTCAGAGTGAGAGATCCTAAAATCAGAGAATCTTGAAATAAGTTTAGTCCATCTTGTGCAAACGCAGTATTCGAACTGTAACCGTCTCTATCTCTCAGCGCCAAAATTAGAAGACATGACTTTAGTTGTGAAACCGCTGAGACTCAACAAGGCTCAGGAGGAAAGGCGAACCACGCATGCGTCAAATTATCTGTAGATATCGTACCGACGAAGAACTCGTGTCATCTTACCGTGGTTCAGCGTTCATTGCAATCAATTTCTTGAACTTTAGACGCACTTTTATAATAAGGAAGCAGTACCTTGGTTCGTCTGCATCTTGGGCAATGGCAAGGAGATCTTGGCCATCGCAACCATCCTTCTCTGCAATGTAAGATAAGAACAATGATCAATGAAGCGGTCAAGTTTGTGTATGTAAAGCTGCAGTAAAATATGTTGTTAACCAAAATTTATTTCGCTTACCTTTCCCTTCTTGAGTCTCATTCCATGCGACTGTAGCCAAGAAACAGTCTCTTCAGTGATGAATTCGCTGCTATAATTCATTATTGTGTCCGACGCACGTGGTCTAGGTTCGACTACTGCGATCACAGGCAGCCCACGCTCACGTCTCGAGAAAAAGCCAACGATTAATTAATGAACGTGTCACGAGTTGTGTGGCTCGGTGTCAGTTACGAGAGGAACCGTTGAAAATTTGAACACGTTATAAGGAATAGTTGTTGGCAACCGTCTGTCTCGGAAGACAGACAGACAGACAGACACATGCTGGGTAGACCTGCCCGTGATAGGACCTCTGCATTTGTGATGCGGTCTTGCCAGGTGATGCTAAGGAGTCGTCTAAGGCAGCGCATGTGAAAGGCATTCAACCTGCGTTCTTGGCGGGAGTAGAGGGTCCATGTCTCACTACCGTAGAGAAAGGTGCTCAGTATGTAGGCTTGGTACACCTTCATCTTTGTGTTGATGGTCAACAGGGAATTGTCCCAAACTCTCTTTGCGAGGTGAGCCATTGCCATTGCTGCTTTTCCTATCCGAACATTGAGTTCAGAGTCCAGGGATAGGTTGCTGGAGATACAGGAGCCAAGGTAGGTGAAGTTGTCGACTACCTCTAGGGCATGCTCGCCAATGGTGATGTGTGGGGTGACACTGACATCTTGGCCCATGATGTTAGTCTTTTTCAGGTTGATGGTTAGGCCAAAGTCATTGCAGGCTTCCGCAAAGCGTGTGATGAGCTGCTGCAGTGCCTCCTCGGTGTGGGCAGTGAGGGCAGCATCATCTGCAAACAACATCTCCCTGATGAGAACTCTGCACACCTTGGTCTTAGTACGGAGGCGGGCCAAGTTGAAGAGGTTCCTTTCGCTCCTGGCGTGGAGGAAGATGCCACCTTCAGACTCGCAGAAGGCATAGCACAAGAGAAGGGAGAAGAACACACCGAAAAGTGTCGGGGCCAGGACACACCCTTGCTTCACGCCGTTCTTGATTGGAAAGGGGTCTGAGGATGATCCGTCAAACTGGACTGTACCATTCATGTCATCGTGGAAGGATGTGATCACCTTCAGGAGCTTTGGCGGACACCCAATTCTTTCCAAAAGGGCAAAGAGACTGTTTCTGCTCACCAGGTTGAAGGCCTTGGTCAGGTCGATGAAGGCAAGGTAAAGTGGGCGTCTCTGTTCGCGGCACTTCTCTTGAAGCTGTCTGAGGGAGAATACCATGTCGATTGTCTATCCCTCTGCACAGAACCCGCATTGCGACTCTGGGTAAATGCGGTCAGCCAGCAACTGCAGTTTGCTAAGCACGACGCG